TATTGTTTCTATTCACAGTCTGCTTCAAGTAAAAGAACACTGGGCCCTTTTTAAGTGATTTTGTGTGTTTTAGGCGATTGCAGTTTGATTGCTATACCAACATTTATCTAAGATAACATATTTAAAAGATGCCTGCACAATTACAGATGCATCACAAAGTTAGATATTTAAGAACAACTCTGTTTCTAAAGATTGCAGATCAAGCTGTTTGAAATGTGCTTCTTGAAATTTAGTATGATATTGATTATTGGACCAAACTTAAGTCGAATTTCATCTGATATCAAACTGACAAGTTTTCTTTTCTTTTGTGGATTTATTTAACAATTGTTTTATTAAACTATAACATTATTTTTTCATTTCCCAGTAATAGTTTGTGGCAGAAAGGGCATTCACTGCGTAAAACATAGAGTATGCTGGACTAGTTTGCGGTTCTTTCCGCAGTGGCAACCCCTGATAAAAAAAAAAGACTAAGCTGAATGGAAATTAATGAATGAATGGTTATTTTTTTGGATCAATGGTAACAAAAAATATTTAAACAAATTACCTGATAAACAAAAACCATGTGTGTGTGTTTGTGTATATGTGACACAAGGGTGAGTACATGATGATGAAATTATAGTTATGCATGAACTTTTCCACAAGCTTCAAATAAACTGTACTTGAAAACAACAACAACAAAACTAAGACACACTTAAAATGTCAAAAGACAAAGCATAAGAAGAGGAAAAGTGAAGTAGAAAGTTTAGTAGTGCTCAGCCATTTAGTGTCTTCGGTGTGTTACAACAAACAAATCGCCCCGCTGGAGCCGAGGACTATCATTAATCCATAACGTAAAGAAAGGAACTTCAGAAGAGATCTGAGACTGCATACCGAAATTGGGTTTTGCATTTTTCAAAAGCTTTTCAATTATTCACTGTGGAAAATATGGGCAAAACATCAGCCAACCCCGTCTCTCTCTCACACACACTCCTGCTCTCTTCTGGGTTCTTGAACCGGGTGTCTAAAACTTGACCTATCTGCTCAGTCAAGCGACTAGCAACTAAAAGAGCAGAGAAAATGGGGGTCTAGAGGGGGAAAAAACATCAATATTGCTTTAACCCACAAAATGACACCACCAAGAAGAAAAGATAAATATATCCACCCCAAATCGCAACAAAACCCCTTACAAACAAACTTGGAGGCACAGACTGAATAAATCCAAAGCATGTTCAACTTATAGATTAATTAAATCAGAGCTTTTATCCGTCGCCATCAAAGCAAATGCCTGGTAATCTGAGGAATCTTTCTTAGTAGTACTATTTCTCTTACACTTCTCTCTCAGGCTCTTTCACTCTCTTTCTCTTTCACTCTGTCACAGTGAATCAGCGGTTGGCATAGTTACAAATGCCATTGACAGCAGCTGCCCTACAGCCTGGCTCTCTCTCTGAGGTGAAATATACATGAAGCAGGCCCCACTGGCCTCCACTCCAATCAATGTTATTCAATTACAGTCAGCCAGCATTTTACTGAAGCACTCCCTTGGGTTAGAGCCACAGACAGCCTGGTCAGTCATCAGCTGTAACCCTTACCCAGCTGTCTTCTTTCGCCGGCATATTACTGCCATACATCACGGCTCCTCAGTAGGTTAAAACCCACATCTGGGTTGTAATGGTGTAGGGTTTCAGTGCTAGACACCAACTGTGCACTTCAGCTCATACATATTGCGGCAATACGTCATAGTCAGTCTTTGGTTTTCAAGTTTAATCCGCAACAGCTGCAGCTGATAAAAGAACAATAACCACCTTCAAACACTAAAACACAGTTAGTGCACGGTCCAAGCAAAAACATCAGTAACTTCAGGCACGCAATGATAAAATGTTGCAACGGCTGATGTTAGAGAGAATAAGAGGTAAACGAGGTACACAAATCATGCATGAGAAAAAAAGTGCTGATGCTCTAATAAAGTTCTACTTCAGTAAAAGTACTTGATTTTTAATGTAGGTATTAAAGGTACAAATTAATCATAAATGATTTGATAATATATTTTGCAGGAAGTAGTTTTCTTTTTCTTTTATGGCACATTTTACCAAAATGTGTTATACACCGATGTCTAATGATTTTTAATGGGTTTAATGAACCCTAAATGCAAGTGTGCAAAGACTTATGAGACTTACTTGAGAATATTATATACTATATAAACTAGTCATTGGACGGTTCAGTGGTGCAGTGGGTAGCTCTTTCGCCTCACAGCAAGAAGATCGCTGGTTTGAGCGTCGGCTGGGTCAGTTGGCATTTCTGTGTGGAGTTTGCATGTTCTTCACGTGTTCATGTGGGTTTCCTCCAGGTGCTCTGGTTTTCCCCATAGGGCAAAGACATGCAGTACAGGTGAATTGTGTAAGCTAAGGGCGTACTCACACTATGTACAGTTGCCTTGAACTGGGCCAAAGCACGCTTGTCCCCCCTCCCGTCTCCCCCGACGACCCACACTCACATTACATTCGGGCCTGGGCACACTTACGTCATCTGACGCTCTTCAGCAAGCGCTTTTGCTCAGCACAGTGAAGATTTCTTTAGTTCTATCGTTTTAGTCATTTGATATGTGGTGATATGCAGTCAAATATTTCGCCGAACAGATCAGCCACTTGTGACGCTCATAAACAATCATAAAGTCCTCGTGCTGCAAGGATTAGGAGATTTGCTGAAGGCGCAGTTGTGGTGCGCGGTTTGCGTCTTTAATCAACTACGACAGTTTGAGTTAATTTAACCGTAAGAATGATTAATAAATCCATATCAAACAGTCCCTAAAAGTCACGTCTCGCTTTCAGTTTTGGACTCAGGCACGTTTTGCACTCACTCACAAGCGTACCGCTCCAAAGCCCAAGTGAACCATGCCTGAGCCCGATTCAGAGCACTCACACTTCCCAAAGATCCGGGCATAGTATGAGTAGGCCCTAAATTGGCTATGGTGTATGTACAGATTTCTTTCAACATATTTCTAAACATAATAGTTTTAATAACTCATTTTTAATAACTGATTAATTTTATCTTTGCCATGATGACAGTAAATAATATTTGACTAGATATTTTTCAAGACACTTCTATACAGCTTAAAGTGACATTTAAAGGTTTAACTAGGTTAATTAGGTTAACTAGGCAGGTTAGGGTAATTAGGCAAGTTATTGTATCATGATGGTTTGTTCTATAGGCTACTGAAAACAAAATCAGCTTAAAGGGGCTAATAATTTTGATCTTAAATGGTTTTAAAAAATAAAAAAACAGCATTTATTTTAGCCTAAATAAAACAAATAAGACTTTCTCCAGAAGAAAATATATTATCTGACATACTGTGAAAATTTACTTGCTCTGTTAAACATCATTTGGGAAATATTTAAAAAAAAAAAATCAAAGGGTGGCTAATAATACTGACATCAACTGTAGGTGTGTGAATGGGAGTGTGGGTGTTTCACAGTGATGGGTTGCAGCTGGAAGGGCATCCGCTGCGTAAAACATATGTTGGATAAGTTTGCGGTTCATTCCACTGTGGCGACCCCTGATTAATAAAGGGATTAAGCCGAAAAGAAAATGATTGAATGAATGAATGAATGAATGAATGAATGAATGAATAAACTAGTAATTAACCCAACTAAATAAACACAAAATGTGTGCATAGACAAATATAAACAAATGCAAATCATTTGCAATTGTCAAGCTTGATATTGCTTAATTTCAGTGTTGTGTTTTACAAAGTTACACATTCAACAATATATTCAACAATATGCAGGATCTTACTCTTTCATACTCATCCTTTCACATTACTTTCCTTACATAGTAACCAATATATACATTTTCCCAAAGACTGCTTAACATACAGTGAAACAATCCTACAATATTTAAAAAAATAAAATGAAGAGATTTTTTAAACATATCATAAATGTCTGTTCACTTAATCAACACAAAAGGTGCTTTAAACAGTACAGTTAAAGGGCACCTATGATAAAAATCATCTTTTGTTAGCTGTTTGGACAGAAGTGTTTGTAGGTATAGTGTGTCCACAGTCATATTGGGGTAATATAAAGACAATATATTTTTTAAATTACCTGTCATTAAAATAGGATCCAATTCCTTTCCATTTTGAGGCCCACTGCAACGTTACATAGGAGTGCGGTTTCCCCACCCACCGAATTGATTGACAGCCGCGTATAAACATGTCTCTGTAGTAACGCTTATATTCATATCAAGCAAGACAGGAAATGTGCAAAGCAACTTGGATTAAAAGATCTGTTCAGCTCTCTGTGATCATCAGTCATCATCAAATGTGATCAAGAATGAGTTTTACAACCTTTTTAGACTGTCAATTTTACTGTCTTTTTCAGCACAGCCACATGTCAACACAATTATAAAAGAAGACGCTTCAATCCCGGTTTGTGGATGTTAAATCGGTTTTACTTTATACATTAACATGACAGATGTCCACACAACAGTCGATATTACCTTGTGTGTGTATATGTGTGCTTGAACTTTGTAACAACATTGTGTGTGGCTCATCGAAAGGCTTAAATTAGCTCCACAACAAATACATCAATTAATCATTAGTAAAGTTCTTACTGTAGTATTTTTCACAAATGTTACGTAAGATCTGCTTCTTTTTTTTCTGTTTATCTGACTCAGCCGAGGTGGAGATTGAGGCACACTCTGACAGGCACGTGAGAATGGTGGGTGGAGAGAACTAGCATTAAAGGTACAGGCCACAAAAACAGCTACAAGGTGCTCAGAGCTGAAAATTACAAACTTATAAAAGGTATAATAAATAACCTGATAGATGTTTTGAGCTAAAACTTTACAGACACATTCTGGAGACACAAAAAGGGGTAAAATAGGTGCCCTTTAAAAATATGAAATTCTTCTAATACACACACACACACACACACACACACAAACACACACACACACACACACACACACACACACACACAAACACACTAACACACGAAAAAAGAATCTAACCAAAAAGTAAACCGTACCTTTGGAAGAGAATATTTAGGGAATCTCATCTGAACAAATTCATTCCTCCGGTATGAGACATAATATTTGGTCCGATTTCCTGTAGTCACCTAGAAAAAAAAAAACAGAAAAATAGTTTGTTTATTTTCTTTACTAGTGCAGTTTTTATTTCACTATTCCAGTGATGGAATCCTGTCTTTACTGTCAGCAGTTTGGAGACAAACTGATCTCTTTCCTATGCATCCTTGCCATTTTCAGTTCACACTGTCAATTTTACAGTACCTCACTGGTATTATCCCAACTGATTCAGTCTCTAACACAATTTTTTTTTTTTTTTGGTACAAACTCTCTACAGTTTACATGAGTTGCATCCACCCTGCATCAGCACATCTTTGACCAGACAAACATTTCATATTCTGTTTCTCAAGGGCAAATCTAAATTCCTTTTCAACAGCTGCAATCCTTTCAAAAGCAGGTGAGAGAGTGAAAGAAATTAATACAGAACAAGAACAAAAGTCCTTGAGCACCTGGCTAATTAAAAAAAGATCAGAAAAGGGAATTTAGTAGTCAAAAAAGCAGATGGAAGACTGGAAAAAATAGCACTGTATGTCAACATAAACCCAAATTAAGATCAGTCTTGTAGCCAAACTGCATATTAACTTGATATATTTAGCACTACAGCATATTAATTGTTATATATATGATAAGATGTAGTATGTTCACATGATTGTTGTCAGTGGCAAACTAGCAAGCTATTTTGTGTTTACAGAAAAGACATATAGACATCTTTGTTAAAACAAGGCTAAATCTGTGTGGTCAGGGAAAACCTAATAGTTGTCTAGCAATAGTTCAAAACTAGACCAGTCATTAAATAGGCAAGGATGAATGACTACATATGTGAAGTCTGTCTAATCCGTGTATTTATTGGGTAGTCAATTTTAGACTATTGTATGACATCTAATAGGTTTTCAATAAGAGCACAAATTTGGCTTTGTTTGTTTTAAGACGTCCATGTTTAGACATCAGCTAATACTGACACTTTTAATAAATATGAGCAGCAAAGCCAGTGTCAAAATATATTTAATGTTCAGCCTTTTGATAGTTTGCTTAGAATATGAAGGAGGGCATTGTATTTGCAGACAAACTAGACATGTTTTATTGATTCAGTCACTAGACTTGTTTCATTGATCAACTTGGAAACTTTGCCCACTTCAGCACTTTTAACAGTAAAAGAAAATGAGAGTCTGAAAATATTCCAGCGTCTGAATCCTGTTGCTGTATGTGCTTAAGAGATGAGAGACGTCATCAGTCTATAGACGTGAAAATAGGCACTATGTTGAAAAATAGCTCAGGTCTGCAACTGCAAAAACATTCAGTGAGCCATGAACTGCCCATGAGGTCTAGCGCTTAACAGTTTTTTTTCAATGTCAGCCAAAGGCACAAGGTTAATTGCTGGTCATGCTTTTCTATGTAGGATTAACACTGATAGTGCTGCAGGTGTATTGTCCTGGCTCTGCTATAAATACATTTACTGTATCTCATTCTGATCAGTAACATTATAGTAACATTCTGCAGTCAGGTGTTTGTCAAGAACAACCGAAAAACTGTAGCAACAGACTCCCTATACAGGTTATCTAGGTAATAATAACTGAAAGCCCATTCATTTAGCTTGTCAAGCATACAAAATATGGCCTTGTCAATGGTAAAGTATTATTTTCCCTGGGTAAAGTACATTATTTCTACACGTGAATACACATCTTGTAAACACTTTATAATAAGATTGTATTAGATAACATTATTTGCTAATGTTAATGTAAATAGTAGCATGAACAAACAATAAACAAAACATTTACTACAGTATTTAATCACATTTGTTAACATAATTAAGTGCTGAGCATATATAAGTACACCGCTCACAAATCTCTCTTTTATATTCATATTTTTAATAGGAAGCTATACAATATTATATTTTTGCATATACATTACTGATTAGTCAGTACTTATCTGACAAAATAACTTATAATAACAGTCTTAAAACTAGCATACCCAAATTTATATGTTATATTTGTATTATCTTTACATTTCTAAATATTTTTAAATATTCTAAATATTTCTGTGCAATATTTATAAATATTTTTGGTGCTAAAATATAAGTTCATAAATATATTTGTTTAATAAATCTGTTTGTTTAAATGCACCAAAATACATTGCCTATATTCACTTAGAAATGGGTAAAAATAATTTCATTTTCAAAATGCGGTGTACTCAATTATGCTAAGCACTGTACGTTTGTTGATTTTTATTTCTTGTTAACTAACAATGCATTAACTCATGCTAACAAGCATGAACTTAAATTTTAATAAAGTAAATGTTGATTTATGATCAATAAATGCTATACATGTATTGTTCATTGGAGCATAAATAATTGCAGCATAAATTTACAATGTTATTAGAATGCAAACTGCTGCTTACAGCTGGATAATATTGTAAGAGTTTAAGTGCGAATACACCGAAAGTGTTGTTTGAGGTGAGATTTAGACACTGTTTTCTATTTGCAGTAAGAGTTTTTCGCCAATTGTCTCATGTTTTTGCAGTTACATAAAAAAAAGTTGACTTTTTTTAACCCACTGCACTGTAGGTGCTTCTGGAAAACGTAAGTGGCACCGTGTATGCACCACTACCTTTTTGCGCATGCAAGCCGTGCATCTCCATTCTAAACAACAAACTTAAGTGTGCAAAAGACTGTTTTGATTGGCCCCTTATTACTTTGAGCCTCACGCCTCGCAATGTTATATGAAAAGCTTTATGTCAGTGTTTGTGGCAGTTGGAGTACGTTTGCAGCTGTTGTTCAGTTTAGGTCATGTTTCCCTCTTAATATTCATTTCCTTTAAAATATCTAATACCATTATTATCCCTTATTGGAGAAAATTAAAGCACACAAGAGCAATTAACAAAATCAGATTCTCAACACATAACCTATAAAATAATGACTTGTATTAAAAATGTTGACAGATGTTGTAATAAAAGAATTACAGAAGGTAACACTTTATTTTGATGGCCGACGAGTATTAGTAGACTGTCTGCTTAATATCTGTTGATAATGCTCCTTCAACAGACATAAAACTGACTTTAAGAAACTTTTCAAGTACATATCAACTTACACTAACCCTAACTCCTAACCCCAACCTAACAGTCTACTTATAATCTAATGAGAACTAGTTGCAATCTAACTTGAAATGAATAAACAGACCATCAAAATAAAGTGTGAGATTACTGAACAAATAATAAATGCTGTACATGTATTCTTCATTATTAGTGCATTATTAATAAATACATTAACTAACCTTAACTAATGAAAGCTTATTTTAAAGTGTGACCGCTATAAATATTCAGTTTTACCTTCACAAATATGTATTCATCTTGCACCGAGAGTGAATTGTGGTCAATCTTCCCCAGGAATTGCGCAGTCACCATTTTATCAGAGCAATTTTGGATGAGGCATGTGACATAAAGGTATCCTGTTGAAAGAAAAAAACAAAAAAACACAAGCAGATTATAGAAAAGTGTTTGACTTTCAAATGTTTGAAAGGACTTTTTCGTTGTCTTTTTTATATTTCAATGCCTGATCATTCTGCTTTTGTAACCGAGTGTGCAGAGACCATTCCAGAGGTGAATGAAGCAAAAGAGGGAGAAAAAAAACAAAAACAAGGAGCTCTTAACAAAATTAGCTAAAGCTGATCCTCACTGGACACTAACTGCTTTGCTCCAGAATGGCAGGAAATTAATTATGGGAAAACAGTGGCGAGGTGCCCTGTTGACGTGGCCTTTCTATTTAGAATCGCACACAAAAGCTGGCTCAGCAACCTCTACAAAACATACACACACACATACATTTATCAATCCTCTAAACGTGCTTTAAAACTGACAACCAATTGGAAAATGATGAAAAATGAGAGGAGAATGAATGCTCCAAAATTCATGGCCAAAGGTTACTTATCAAAGTGGGCAGCTTAATTGCTATTCTCATAATGTTGTTTCCTCTCGTTCTCTGTTTTTTTTTTTTTTCGTTAATAATTTTAGGCAAACAAATGGGCAGACTACTTCACTGAAGAGGACGAATAGTTAATCAAGGCAGTACAGCAGAGAAATTCATTAAAAAGCAATTAGAATAGCTGAGCGCTTTGCTTCTGTCTTCTGTCACACAAGGTCAGACGTGCACACACACACGCGCGCACCCCCAGACACGCACACACTCAGCACATCTTATGAGTGACTGAAAGAGTCACTGAGCTGATGCTAAAACACTTGAGGTCTGCATCTGCCGATGTCACACCAACCCAACAGTAGAGATCAAAGCTTAAGGACTATTTATAAAAATTAATTATTTTACTAAAATAACTTAAATTTCATCATTTAATTTTAGTTGTGGCTATACAATCCTAGTAGAACAATGTTTTACAAAATAACCAAGAAATTGAAGCCATTTACAGTAAATTTACAAAGCTATTTACAAAAAAATTAAAATGATTAAAAATTAAATGAAGAATAGACTTGGGTTGATTGGTGTGTGTGCGCCATTGCAAGTAAGATTTCTGTATTTATAACCATCTTAGAGGATATTGGGGTTGCGAGTCACTGGCATTGTCATTTTGGGGGTCGCGGGCTGAAATGTTTGGGAACCACTGCTTTAGATGATCATGTCTTTTCATGATCTTGTCTTTTATGGACAGCCTGCCTTTCTGGAAGCTAGTGACATAGTAAAAATGCAGGTTTGGTTCAAGCAGCTTGAAGTAAACCATGGCTAAAAGATCTCATCCATTGGCCTTCATCTGGACATCATGCAGTTGGAGACTTCAGTGTCTTTCTATGGTTCAATATCTTGCAGAATAAAACTTCAAGAGTGAAAATTAAGAAAATGATGACTAGGAGCCCAATTAACACCAGTAACTGGGAAGATACAGGAAAAAGGTTGCATTATTTTGATTAATACTTGGGTTTCGTTCATCCTGTGTTAATAAAAATTTTGAAGTATATCACATGAGAAACAAGTGATGGAAATGCCAAATTTTGAACTTACTACTTACTCGAACTTACTACTTACTCCCAGGGCCAAAATATGCTCAAGGAGCAACGTTTTTTGTGCTAATTTTGTTTTCGCAAATCTACCAAATCTACCGTTGTGTACACTTTTTCTGTCATGGTTCATGGATCTGTCTGTTCCTTTTGTGTGTGTGTGTGTGTGTGTGTGTGTGTGTGTGTGCGTGCGCGTATGTCTGTGTATGGATCGCGTGGCTGTAAGTTGTGTTTACATGTCATCAGCTGTGGTCACATGGATTGTTGTCACCCTCACTTGCCGTTGGTTAGCTCCGCTCAGCTGACTAATCAGCATGCCACAGGTGTAGTGCATTTATGCGCCTTTATCAATCCAGTGTTTCTGTTTTTCTTTGTCAGTTTGTTGTTGTTCATGTCTGTGTCCTGTCAGGCTCTCGTCGCTTAGTGTCGCTGGTGGTGAGTTGCAGCTTGATGTGTTATGTGCCTTGTTTTGCTGTTAAGCTTTGTTTGATTCCAGTGAGAGACGCATCTTTGGTCTTTGGCAAGACTCACCCTCATAAACACTCATAAACCCAGCCAATAGCGTTTTAAAAAGCACAGACTGACCCGCCCACCCCCCTTCCCTAAAGCTACTGGACAAACTGGCAACAGCGGAAAAGCTGTCCATATGGAGGTAAGCGGTCAGCTGGTAATCAAGAAAAGGACAGCGTCATACCGCCCTTTAGCATTCGTATTAAAGATAAAAAGCAGCCATACAAAGCTCTGGCTACAGAATTTGTGATTTCCAGAAATGTATAAGGGCTATGTTTTCAGCATGAGTCTATGTTGCACATTTCAAACTTGTACCCTTTAATTTCAAAAAGGTTTTTACTCTCCCTTGAGGTGGTTTTGGACAAAAAAAAAAAAATTGGTTATTGCAAATAATAGGAGATGGAAATGCATTTGCAGAATAAAGTGTGATGTGGGGGACATACACCCACATGACTCCATTATGCTTGCTTGGTTGCTTACTGTTTGTTACTAGGTTACCAATACTACAGTCAGAACCTCTTACAACTTGATGGAAACTCACCTAATCCGCCTGTGGGATTTTTATTTTTTTTTGTAAAATTTTAAAAGATATTTAAAAAAAGAAAAAGATTTATTTGGCATTAGGATTAAAACTCTGGAAAAGTGGAAGAAAATGGATGGATGGATAGGATGGAAACCCTTGTTCACTTTCTAATTAGGTTTTTATATAGTGCTTTAAAATATGTGTCTCTCAGGTAATACACTTGAAAAATGTCCTTTATGATTATTTAAAATAGGATTAATTTTGATCTCCACTGTAGGTGTGAATGTGAGCGTAAGTGAATGCCTGTTTGTCAGAGGGATGTGATGTATTTGTCCACTGTGATCATTTACACCCTAAGGGCTTGAGTGTACTGTATCTGTGTGACTGTCAGGCAGTGTTTAACCTTCACTGGCTTGAGTGTGATGGAGCTTTGTGTCTGTGCGCCACACACACACACACACACACACACACACACACACACACACACACACACACACACACACACGCAAAACAGCTCATCAGGAGGAATTCACTGAAAGTCTCATGTGTGAATGAGGCAAAAGCCCTAAAATGACCCATCTGCCCTCTTTCACTGTTTTCTGTTACGGTATGAAGAACTGAATTAAAATGCACTGTTCCACAAACACACAAGCTCCCTTACCGCCGCTGATGTCTTGCATCTCCATATGAACCAAATCAGGATCCACATCCACCCCCGTCACGGCCCTTAAACAAAGCATACTGTTAGTAACACGTTGCGTTGATCAAGCAAGAGTGACTCATACAGACACACACAGAAGGGCGATTTAAAGTGAAAGTTCACAACAAAATTAAGCTTCTGTTATCATTTGCTCACTCCAGTGTTCGTCTGGTATCTTTATTAGACAAAAGTGAAACTCTGAAGACTTTCTTCTTGCACAAAGGCAGTGCAAATCTATCTTTTATGATTGTGCTTTTGTCCTCTTTTAGAAGCCTGAATGCTTGTCTTCATAATTTCTCTTTTTTTCTTTAAAGAACAGTCATAAATCACAGTGTGCAAATTATGACAGAGTGTTCCCTTTCTGTGCGCTATCACTTTAAAAACAAATCACTTAGCTAGCAGAACCTCCCCACCCATACAGTCACATACAAAGACCTTGGTTTCAAGGAATGCAGGCAGTTCACTGTATTTAGTCTATTTGTGGTAAAAACAATAGTTTGGAGGCTACTAAGCTGCTCAGTGAAGTTCTAGCTCAGTAAATCTGGACAAACACTACATTATATTTAAGCATTTTTAGCAAGCAGGAGATTAACTGAATCTCTTTCTTTGAAGAGATTTTCTTTCAATTGAGTTCCTCATGCTGCCATTAAAAATGTTGGAATTCAGAAATATTATGTATGGATCTGATACTGAAACAGTGATATTGTATCTAATAAGAAGTTAAAGTTAAGTTATAATTCAAGGCCATTCATAGAAAGAATAAAATTGATAAATATGACAATACACATTATCTACATAAGTGAATGATAGCATTTTTTTTAATTCTAAGCCTCTGAACTGCACTTTCAAAGATATTGTATGTGCCTTATGATATGCTACTTCATGTTTTGCAAAGACTCCAAGGAAAAAACAGACATTGTTGGAAAAATAAGATCCTTCAAAGGAGGATCTGTTGGGTGAATTACTCTGCTTTATTAGTTATATCAGTTTCAAGTATGTTTATTTAATTCAATGTGGTTGTAACCAGCAGATCCTCTCCATATTTTATGTCTTTAGTGTATCTAAAAAGTGAATCTAACTAAAGTAATCAATTTAATAAGCAAAGAATTTACCTATCATAGTGTAGATTTATATTACATGTAGATATGCTTAATGTATACATTAAATATTTTTAACTTCAAAGGTGGAAACACAAAGATATAGTAAGGTAACTGTAGGTTTTTTTTTTACACTATTTGCTAGCCTGGCATATATAGCCACCTTTAATACATCTGACCATTCATCCCAAAGGTTAAAAACAGCTGTTTTATTTACAATAATAATTTTCTACTTGAACATATATGAAAGATTGACTTATTTCTGTAAATCAGAGATGAATTTCTCAGCAATTATGTCTCTAGTTTTCAGAGGAGGATCTATACATAGCTTTAACTAGATTTCTTTCCATTGTGTAAACATTCAATTGATCAGGTGATTGTAATAGCAATTTCAATAAACAAAATATCTTCTTCAACATAATTGCTGATTTAAAATTTGCATTTATTAAAAATACAGAAAAGTTTATTCAGGGTATGTATTAGAGAGTAAAATTTAATACCTTTTAAGACTCTTTCCATATATTTTAAGATCTCATGGTCACTTTAGGTTTCAACCAGTAAAAATGGAGACATTTTAGCTTAGATTATATTTATTAAATGCTGATTGTAGGAAACTAATCCTAAACTAAAACATCATTCATATATTGAATACAAATTTTAATTCAGCAGGTGGTGCCTACAACAGCAGGAATAATGGTGTTGCCTTGCTTGCTGCAGTGAACAAAGCAGTGTGATGTCAAATCCAGCAGGATTTTATTGATTTCATAAACAACGCAGCATCCCAATATTTGCACATTAAATTTTAGTCTACTGATACAAAATTAAATAGCTTGTAAAATAGCATTTAAGACTTTTAAAAAAATTTTAAGTGCCTTAAATTTTTCTAATTTATTTATAAACTTTTCATTCTTTTAAGAGCCCGCAAACACCCTGTAAACAATTTTGTATCAAACAAAATATAACGAAGAACACAATGTCTCATCATTTAAAAGAATTGCAACTATCAGCTATCACTATGATAAAGAATCATGTAATGTGACACTGATCACAGGAATAAATTATATTTGTAAAAATATTCGCAAAGCAAGGAGTTAAATTTAGGTAACATTTCACAATATGATTGTTATATTGCCTTTTTGATAGAATATATGACTTGTACTAGTGTTATTAGTGTTATATATATATATATATATATATATATATATATATATATATATATATATATATATATATATATATATATGCTTGTGCTATCATGATACTTATTATAATTGTATTGAATATTTCCCTTGCAGTATATGCATTTGTCTCAGGATTGCATATAGAAATCTGCACGATGACTGACAAACCTGAGAATATATTTTCCAACATCTGTGATGTTCCAAATCCCTCTAATATTTCAAAAGCAATGGTTTAGTACATAAAAATATTTACATCCGCATAATAACAGCATAATCTTGCTCCACTGTGATTTATGGCAGATTACTTAACCATCACATCTCAACAACACATAATGAGTCACGATGAGCTCTAGTCTCATCTCCTGACCGCATGGTCCAGACCACCCTCGCAGGCAGCATCCCTGTCCATTAAAGCCACACTGATTTATGGCCTCTCTCCTCTGCAGACCTCCCCTTCTGCTATTTTATGAGCGAGGAAGCAGACGGCGAGGACAAGAGAGCCTCAACCCTCAATGCGAACTGATCCTGTCGTGTCTTCTGAGCTAATTCTCAGAGACGTTTTAAAGAGGTCTGGAGACAGTAGAGTATGACCCTTATCAAACCCCCGGCTGAGGAATCAAGGAAAGACTGCTTCAGATTTACAGTGTCATTGTAAAACCTCTGGTCAAATAAAACATGTGCTGCATGGACTTTATTGTGGCAGATGCTGACAAGGAGCTGACTTTTTCAACTTTTATCAGTATTAACCATAGACAAACTATACAATCTGTTAAAGTGCAGCGCTGGGAGGATGGCACGCAAACAGAGAAAGAGAGAGAGAGAGTGAAAGATCAGGAAAGAGAGATCAAAAAAGAGAAAGAGAGGGTCAGATGGAATAACTGGTTTGGGGTGGAGAAATAAATCACTTCTGTCCAGGATTTCAATCCCAGCTGTGGTAGCAGTGAACCATAACCAGGAGAGCAAAAGAATGAAAAATAAAAAAATAGGCAGAATTCACCTAAAAAGGTGAAAGGAGAGACAGAAAGAATTGAGGGGGGAAGAGATCAAAAATAAAGTCTGAGAGGGCAAGGTAGAGTGAAGTTAAACCATATTGACAACTTTCTTTCTTAAGTGGTGTAGAAAAAGTTATTTTAAACTGAGATTCTGCACTTAACAGGTTCTTTATTGGTGGTTCCACGAAGAAGGACTAACATCCATTGAATGTTTTCATTTCATAAATAGCTCTATTTCACTGAAAGTGTCAAAACTTTTTCCTGGAATCCGCAACCCTCCCTATTCCCTATAAGAATTAATTTTTTCGAACAATGTCAGATACTTTGAAAAGAGCACTTATTGTGATTATTTGCTCTTTTATGATGAATAACTTGTTGTATCTCCAGTTGCGTAACAGCATCTTCTATATGATAGTATATACACTCACCGGCCACTTTATTAGGTAACACCAACTGCTCTTTAACGCAAGTTTCTAATCAACCAATCACTTGGCAGGAACTCATTGCATTTAGGCATGTAGACATGATCAAGACGATCTACTGCAGTTCAACCCGAGCTTCAGAATGGGAATGAAAGGTGATTTTAGTTGTGTAGGTGACTTTGAACTTAGCATGGTTATTGGTGTCAGACAGGCTGGTCTGAGTATTTCAGAAACTGTTGATCAACTGGGATTTTTACGCACAACCATCTTCTTTTACAGAGAATGTTCTGAAAAAGAGAAAATATCCAGTGAGCGGCAGTTCCCCTTCGGGGGGAACTTCAGCACTATAAGTGGATTTGATTGTAAAATCCACGCATTGGGAGGTTCGGTTCAGAAGCTACTCGTCTGAAAGAGTATTGAACGGGCCAATTAAGAATGAATTGGCAGCGCAAGCCTGCGCAGGTGAGCGGCATAAGCAATCAACTGAGTATATAAGCTCACCTGGCGCAGCAGACGCTATCCTTTTCGCTTCAGAGACTTTCTGATCGAGTCGATGAGGGTTCCTCCTGCTGTGACCAGCGATTCTGAGCGAACGAGAGCATTCTCCCGGTCCAGAGTGTGTACACGCAGTGGCAGACGGTCGAGCTGGGTTTCTCCCTTGCCTGGCGTTCTTTGGGTCCGGTCCTCCAGAGCGGTGCGTATAAAGTTGCAAACTTCACAGAAAGAGCAACACAGTCGTGCAGCACGTCCTTATCAGGACGGCGCTCCGACTGTGCGTTTCTGGATGCGGTGGTTTCCTGTCCTCGGATGATGGGCGCGGGCACTGTGTTACATGTCTGGGGGTCCAGCATGTTAATGCGCTGCTCGCGGGCAGTTCATGTCGTCATTGCGATGCCATGACTGTTGCGCAAGATCGCGGTTAGCCTTTGCAAAAAGGCGAACCACCCCAGTTGTCCCCTGCTCTGCAGCGGGCACTCGGGCAGATCTGAGGGTTTCAGCGAGAGATAATCCGTCGCCCACGGGCCCGCGGACCTCCCGCTCCTCTAAGCGCTCCATCCAAGCTTCGGGCGGAGGAAGCGATCCGTCTAACAGATGGTAGCCCTTACGCCCGATGACACCGGAGACCAGATGTCCACCGCGGCATCGGAGGGTGGGCTTTCATTGTCCGATGATGATCCAGACCCGCTCGCCCCCTTCGGGCTGGTGAGCGCTGTCACTACGGATCCTGAAACGGACATGTTAGCCGTGCTTTCCCGGGCTGCTTCGGCCGTGGGTTGGAGATGGTTTATCCCCCAGCTCCGCGGCCGGACCGACTAGAGGGGCGTTCCCTTCTT